TATATATATATATATTAAATTTAAAACTCAGTTATTATTACTTAAAATTGTTATTATAAAATTTAAAATTCTAACTTCGCCTCCGAATTATGTTTAGCATGCATTAAATAACTTGCTATTTCATAGGTTTGTACACAAACAGAAAGAGAAAAATATTTATTAAAAAATGAAGAAAAAAGGGAAAGTTGGAGAGTCAGATATGGAGGTTGTTGAGGGGGTGTAGTTTTACATTAATTTCATTAATTTGCTTTAAGGATTATTTAATTAGTCTATTCAAATAGAGGATGGAAATTAATCACAACCTTTAAGAATTTTAAATATTACTATGTTAATAAAGATTTTTTCAGTTAGGTATAATTAGGCTTTTGCTTCCACCTATAAGTTTTCCAATGTTTTAATTTGTTCATGTTATTATTAATAACTTATTAATTACATCCATGTGATATAACAGACTGACCTTAGCGTCTATTAAATTAATTAATACATAATTGCATATTTTATTTTTACTTCTAAATACAAGAAAGAAAGGCCAAACGCATACGTACGTACATCTAGAATTGATACAATTTTTCACTTAGACACATTAATCGATTGAACACATGTAGTAGGCCTAAGTGTGTCATTTAAACATTTTTTCGTTGTCTTGACAACTTGCGTGATTTACCCATTAAAAAAGTGTGAGAAGGCCAAAATATCAACAACAACAACAAAAAATAGTTGTTGTTTTTTTCCATTAATGCATAAAAGTTTCAGAATTTTTTTTCCTCAAAAAAAAATCGTATTTTGTTTTTTCATAAGCTGCGATTTTGAAATATTTTGTTTTCTTTTTTTAGAATGTTATTTTTCTTTTGTTTATTAAATTAATTTTAAATAATTAACTCTCTCTTTTTTCAGATTTTTTTTGTTTCATTTTTCTTTTCTCAAAAAGCTGAGAATTTTTTTTCTAAATTGGATGTATATTTTTTTTAAAAAAAAATTGTTTGAGAAGAAAATTTTATTTTGTGTATTAAATAGATTTTGACATAATTTTTTCTTCAGATTTTCCACAAGGTGGGAAGTTTTTTTCCAGATTGGGTGTAAATTAAGTTTTTTTTTGGAGGATATAATTTTTATTTTGTTTTATCAAACAGATTTTAAAAGAACTATGATTTTCCTTTTTTCTTTTTACTAAAAATATATGTAATTAGTTAATATATTGTTTTGTTACCTCAACGAGTGTATAATCTTCTCCTTATTTTTTTGTTGATTGTCAAAAGAGTATCTAATAGAACATATTTTGAATATGTTGAGTGTTTAACAGGTGCACAACTTAGTTGAAATATTTATATAAGCAAAAAAATCATGTCAACTTTAGACGCCTCTGTATATGTTAAATCAGAAAGAAAACAAAGTAGAAACCATATATAGAGATACATTGCAACAAAAGAGATACTTTGTAGCAATAGATTTTCCTTTAATTAGCACTAAAATATTTAGTGGCAATTGAAGCGAAATTTTATTGTAATAGATTTTCCTTCAATATTTATTAATATAGTCACAAAATAATTTATATCTATGGTAGTGATAGAGGCAAGAAAAACCTAGCAATGTGGTCATTTTATTATTACTCTACATAAGTAGGTCAGTATTTTAATAAATTCCACAAAAATATAATATGATATTATTGTTTTTGGTCCATCTAATACGGAAATATGGGAGAACAATATGTAAAGTGTTGGTGGAATAGTTAATCATATACTATAAGATGAAATAGTTATATATAAGAAATAAGAAATAATATTATATTCTTTTTATAACCATTCAAAAGTAAAAAATAGTATAAGATCTATCCATGAAATTTCGTTTACGCAATATCGTTAACGTATAACAATGGTAGTTACTATGTCAATTGCATGTCTAAGCTATCAAAATAATTTCGAAAAGAAAACCAATTTATGTTATTGTCACCCCAGTTTTTACGTAAGGATTTAAGTAATAAAATACTATTAAAAGATAAAAACTAGCGACGAATAAATTTTTAGTTAAAAATTCATCGCTAATTCAAGAAAATCCAGTTATAAACTACGAATAATTTAGTGATATATTAGCAACAGAGTTTATAGCTAATTTGATTTATTTGATCTTTTGTAGTGAAAGTTCATTGCTTATGCTGACCTCAATATTACGCTGTCTTCCTATATTATACTAATTTATATGTCTAAAAATATTATATTATAATAAAATAATGTAGTATACACAAGATTTCGACATAAGAATAAAAATCTCCACGTAAGTTACCTTGTATTTCAAATCTATGCATAAAACTATATGTTTTTATCACATATCAAAGTTCACAATTCATTTCTTTAAATAAAAAATAGTATGAATTAATTACTTCGTTAGAAAAATAGTTAAACATTACAAGGTTTAAGAAAGACTAGCAATTTAGCAAAGACATAATTTAATTTGGTGATATGAAAATAAAATAAAATTGTAGTTGTACAACATGTCATCCCTTTTTTTCTATCAAGTGTTTGGAGTCCGTATTGAAGTCCCAATTAAATGCGAATGCGCACCGCACCGCATGATTTATTCAACCCAACATGGTTTCCTCTATACATATAGCTGAAATTCGAGACATCTAATTAATGATGAAACAATTTTACCGGTGCACTAAACATGTTGGTACATGTCATTCCATTCATGCAGATGGAAAGTCAATCACATAGTTGAAAGCTTTTTGATCAATCAATTATTTAACAAATTGATTTCTTAACTGACTCATTAATCTATACCGTACGAAACTAAACACTTCTCTATCTCATCTATAAATATAAAATTTGGAGTTAATTAAATTAATTAATTAGCGTATCCATTAACATCAAAAGTTTATCAATCAAACAAGACATCTCCAACGGCGGGTGTTAAATCAATATCTAAATAGTCATGTTTAACTATTTTGGATTTATAAATAACTAAGTTAAATTCTGTTTGGTTAGCTTTGATTG